TAGTACAGAACTTGCACACAAAAATCACTCACAATGAAAGCAAAAGCCTCGGCAGACGATGCAACATCCCCCCAATGAAAAGCAGGGGTGTCACTAGCACGTTAAGAGACAATAAAATAAGTATCAGGGGCCCGAGACTGTTCAACTGCCTCCCAGCATACATAAGGGGGATTACCAATAGACCCCTGGCTGTCTTCAAGCAGGCACTGGACAAGCCCCTAAAGTCGGTACCTGACCAGCTGGGCTGTGGCTCGTACGTTGGATTGCGTGCAGCCAGCAGTAACAACCTGGTTGATCAGGCTCTGATCCACCATGAGGCCTGGTCACAGACCGGGCCACGGGATGTTGACCCCGTAACTCTCTCCAGGTAAACTCCAGGTAAACACCTACCTTCTGACACAAGTGTTCCCCACACCTGTCTCCTGACAAAGCAGGTGTTAGGGTCTTTCCAACACTCCTCCTTACACTTTATGCAGGGGGCATGAGTCCCCCACACCTGCCTTCTGACAAGGACATTCAGGCAAATAAACTTTTGACACCATTAGAATTGATAAAGGATTAACTTCTTTTCTTTTTACAGGTACAGTATTAACTTAATTGTAGCTGCAGGAGTCAGGTATCAGCTCCTGGGCCCACCACTTCTGTTGGCACTACTAGTTTCACTCTCTTCTGGTTGCGAGTCTATTTGTATGGATTCTGCATCTACCACTTCACTGTCTAGGTTGTTCCACTTCCTGACCATTATGTGGCTAAGGAAGTATTTCCTAACATCACTGTGACACATCAGTGCTTCATCCTCTGCCCTGCAGCACTGTATGACCCTAATGGGTTTAGCACTTCTTTTTTATAATAATATTAATACATAATAATAATAAGGTGCTTTTAACTTTCAGTTGTGACCTCATGTACACAAGACCTGCCTCTCAAACACACTATCCCTGTCCAGCTTAGCAAATCTTACGAGACACAAAAATATCCGGGCAGCGCTACATTATTCTACTAACATAGTGACAACAGAATTTATGTCAAATTAAATATCTGCTACACAGACAGCAGTATTACAGTATTATTGAAGATTGAGACACTTATGCAACGTATAGGAATCTTTATTTAAGAAACGTTTTGCCACACAGTGGCTTCATCAGTCCATACAAAGGAGAATGGTGAAGAACAGGAGGAGTTTGAGGTAATCAGTCCCTCAGCCCTGAGTCGATGTAATCAGTCCATCAATCTTGAAAAGAATGCAGTATATGTGCGAAGAAGTGGCTTATATACTGTAAACAGGTGAGGTAAAGCAGTAGTAGGAAGTATCACACTTGACAAATCCAAATGTGGAAGTAGGTCTTCGTCCAAAGGTTGGACAGGTGTTGAAGAATTCCTTGTATCAAGATCCCATGATGTTGCAGTGTCTGACAGATGTGATAAATGGTTCTTTTCAAGACTGATGGACTGATCACATGGACTCAAGGCTGAGGGACTGATTACCTCAAACTCCTCCTGTTCTTCACCATTCTCCTTTGTATGGACTGATGAAGCCACTGTGTGGCAAGACGTTTCTTCAATAAAGATTCCCATACGTTGCATAAGTGTCTCAATCTTCAACTTCTCGGTTGTAAACCATTTATCACACAGTACTATTATTAAATTCATGGGGAAGTGCTAAACCCCACAGGGGTCATACTGCACCTGGAGATTATTATTATAATCAAAAAGAAGCGCTAAGCCACAAGGGCTATACAGCGGTGCAGGGCAGGAAGGAAGCGAGGGCATCAGGTGGCAAAAGGGAGATGGATGAGTAATAGGTTACGGATAACAGCGGGGTAGTGGATGGTGAAAGGGTAAAGGGCAGCAAGAGACTGAACTAGAAAGGGCTGAGGGGAGTGCGAAAAGTATCATCAGAGTTTGTGGAGTAAATCAGTCGTTGTCAAGAAGTCAATGAGAGAGTCAGGATTAAAGGAGGGTCCATCAGCAAGAAGGGAAGGTAAAGAGAGAGTAGTAGAACGAAGATGACGTTGGAGGTAAATTCTGCGTGCTCGTTGATAGAGAGGGCAGTCTAACAGAATGTGGCTAACTGATACTGGAACTTGACACTGCTCACAGAGAGGAACAGGGTGCCTCTCCATGAGATACCCATGAGTAAGACGAGTGTGGCCAATGCGAAGGCGGGAGAGAGTGGTCTCCCAACCTCGGCACTGATGACAAGAAGACGGCCAGTAACCTATGCTCGATTTAATAGAATGAAGTTTGTTACCGAGCAGAGTTGACCAACGTTGCTGCCAACGGGTGCGAAGGTGGGCAGCTATTGCAGCAAAATAGTCCAGAAATGGAACACCTCGATAGGAAATTGGTAGGTCATGTACTGCTGACCGCGCAGCAGTGTCTGCCTGTTCATTGCCCTGTACGTCGACATGACCAGGGACCCAACAAAAAACAATATCTTTATGTTTGGTAGAGATACGGCGTAGCCAAAGTTGGATATGGAGAACTAGGGGATGAGATGTATCAAATTTTCGGATAGCCTGTAGAGCACTAAGGGAGTCTGAGACTACTACAAATGATGACACAGGCATAGATGCGATACGAATAAGTGCTGCAAGAATGGCATACAGTTCAGCAGTAAAAATGCTAGCTGAAGATAGTAAATGCACCTGGGAATGGGAGGCAATTAGGGAAGGCAGCTCCAAATCTTTGGAACAAAAGCCTTCAGCCTCGCCTCCTTGAAGGGATAATAAAAAAAAAAGACAGTTGATATGATGGCAACATAGAATGGTATTACTAATAATTTTCTCCATTCACTTTCCTAGTGAAGAACTCTTGATTCAAGGAATTGGAGCTATCCTTCCTTTCCTTGGATCCTATATGATTACATCCCATTCCCTAAGCATTGTACGACACATATGGATTAAATACTTACCCCATAGCTGATGTTATGGAGCTGAACACTACAAGGCAGAGGGATTGATCACCTCGTTTCTACATTTCCACAACTTTCACTGTTTCCTCCGTATTTTGACTGAAGCCTTCTGAGCAGGTGAAACCTCTTGTCAATAAGATATCAAAGTGTTACATGTGCCTTACTTATCTACTGGGGTCATATGGTACCTGGGGAAATGGTAGGTAGTCGGGTTTAATGTGAGAAAAGGAAGAGTACCTCAAAGTCCTTGGAGCAAAAGCCTTTCACCAGCATCAAAACACCTCCCAGGGGAGACCACTTCTGTTTACTTCCGGTCTTTCTGCCTTACACCACAAATTCGTAATTTTTGTTTTTAAATAACCTTAGAGAAATAATTACTACATTCATCAGTGCAAGCAATATTATAATTATCATAATCATAACTAAGCACTAAACCCACAAGGGTCACACAGTGCTGACAGGCAATAATCACTGAAAAGATTTATTATTGTCTTATAATCATAGGGCAGCGCTAAACCCGTAGGATTATACAGCACATGTGGGGGAGGGTGAAAGGTATTCAGGCTTAATTCCGGGAAGTGGAGCACAGATCCAATTTCCTAAATCAAGAGCCCCTCACCAGCATTAAGGAACCTTCCTTGAGGGATGTAGAGGTTTAGAAACAAGAAAACTCTCACATATACATGGTACACATACCTGCTTGTCTATATGGCTTCACGTCCAACAAGCAAAAACCTTAATATGTTTCTCTGATATATGTGGGGTCAATATCAGAGTGTAGCATGTTAGACAGAAGCGTGTTACATAGGAGTGAATGGAGACAAATGGTTTTCAGGACTTGACGTGCTGTTGGAATGTGAGCAAGGTAACATTTATGAAGGGAGTCAGGGAAACCGGCAGGCCCAACTTAGAGTCCTGGAGGGGGAAATACAGTGCCTGCACTCTGAAGTAGGGGGAGTTAATGTTGCAGTTTTATAACTGTAGTCTAAGTGCACCTCTGGCAAGACAGTGATGGAGTGAATGATGATGAAAATTTTTTTTTTTTTGGGTCACCCTGCCTTGGTGGGAGAAGGCCAATGTATTAATAAATAAAAAATTAATTTTTTCAAAGTATCAAACACTATTTTAACACAGTTTTCACTTGGGCCTTCTGAAGTACAGATCTTTATAGTAGTTGAGTTATTAAGTTGTAGTTGTTCCATCAGATCTGTGGTCAGAATGCTGCATCTGTTTGTTTGGTATCGAGATCCTTCAGTTATGTTTGGTTGTGTGTCTGAAGAGATGTCATTTGTTTGTTAGTGGTCTATGCAGCTTCATTTTGTTTATTTGATGGCTCAGCATGCTTTTCAGTTCCGTTATTTTCTTTGCTTGCTTAGCTACCATTTTTTATATTATATTCATGAGGAGTGCTAAACCTGTAAAGGTTTTACAGCAGCTGGGGGAATGGGAGGCATTCAGGTTCAGTCCAAGGGAAGACTAGGTCCAATTCCTTAGATCAAGAGCTCTTCACCAGTAACCAGATTTCATAGCAGTGTGGTAATTTTGCAGTGATGATACTGCATCTTCAAGCCTTTTGATAGTTGTTAGAAGTTCTCTTAATCTGTTTGTACAAATCCCCTAAAGTAGTTCGACTGTTTTCCTTCCTAGCGCATCGGTGTAGAATGCCTGCCATCTACACCCTTGGAGTGGGTCGGAAATATTATGTCATGAGCGTTGGAGTTAAACTGATGCAGGTTGCCCACGTCTGCCTCTTAGTCATATTGCTTGAAAGTTGCAGGGCTATTATGATGTGTTTTGGAGACTTCAATTGTAGTTCATGGTGGTCACATCTGTTTAATGAGCACATTTGTTTATTTTGATCTTTAGATATTATTGAGGCTGGTTTGCACCGAGTGTTGCATCACTTTATGTTTCCATGTAATGTAGGACTATATCATTTGTGGCGACTTATTTGAGCCAGGAAATCTAAGTAAATGTGGAAATCTTATAAGTGAGGCTCCCTCAGGCAACAACCTAAAAAATCTAAAGTTGGCATTTTCAATAAAATCTTTTTTTTTTGAAAAATAAAGAAAAATTAAACTTAGACATTGTCTTGATTTGTCTTTTATTCAAAGAAAAGTTTGGATGTGAGCAGGACATTCATAGCAGAAACTTCTTTACATAGATACCTGCTACTTCATATACGTATATATATATATATATTTTTTTTAGAAAAATAGCCAAATATATTTTACAAATAACTAGATAACAAATTTTCTAGCTACAGGTACGAGCAGACTTAAGATGAATCAAGAAATATATACTGTATTTTACCTAGAGCAATTTCATAAAAATAAAATTACTGACACGTATCTAACAAACGAATATACGTATGTTAAATATTTAAAATAATATTTCTTTGTAGTTTCAAATGGCTTTAATCGTGGGAGAGTTTAAAAAATATTTTAACTTAACAAATGTTTCATTACCAGATCAACAATCTATATATCTATAAATTGGGCCAAATTACAATTAAATAACTAAGCATGCAAAGAAGTTAACATATATGTCAGACTATTTTTTAAACCCTGCCCAATGGTGGGAGAAATTGTCATGCACACTATAGTGGTGGCCAAGACAACACACACAAAGTGTAGATAATAAAAGTCACAATACAATTGCTAGAAAAATTTACACCTAACCCACTAATTAGAAGTGGAAACTAGACAGCATTTTGGTGCATCCCAGACCATCATCAAGTTGAAGACAGACAGATGTCATCTAGGCTCAATTTTCAATTTGTGGGTTAGTTATCAGACACAAAGAGTATCATCTCTCTTTGACTTGTGGCACATGTCTCTGCAGGAAGAGGCCACCAAGTACAAGATTACATGAAATAATGAAGCTATCATGTGCACGACAGGTGTACCATGCTGCCTAGTACATGCATGGGAACTCTGTTCCTGTAAATAATAATGTAGCGCACTACCCACTGTATTGTAGAGGGGTTGGCTAAGTATCTTTGGTCAAATGTGGCATGAGAATATACTCATGGTAGCCATGAACAAAATCAATTTAATATAAAATATTACTTCAAGTACTTCAATATGTAATAAATCCAGCCATATAAACTACATCCTAGTTCCTCTTATACCATCTATATACAAAAAAACTAATAATTTTTCCAAATGCATGATATTACAGCATCTAACAATACTTTGTACTTTTCTAGTAGAAATTAAACTAAAAATAAGTAAAAAAATAATGACTACATTAAAATATTTGTATGTAATTAACTTCAACAATCAGATTAGCTATACTTGGCTTTACCTGATCTCTTCACAAAAAAATTGCATGCAAATGCAAATTGTACCCAATAATAAAATATACTTTTCTCAAAGCAAAACTTAGAGAATAAGATTTAAGCATTAACACTTCAGGAACCTAATGATAATGTGATAAATTTCTTGTACTGTTATTAAGAGAGTTTAGCAAATAAATAACGATAACTTATTATTTCAGAATTTTTTGGATAATGATCGATTAAGATAATTATGCATGCCTGCAAGCAAATACAGTATGTCTCCAGTCCTAAAATCTCCATACCCATGCTATGTCTGTAACCTGCCACTGAGTAATGCACAGGTAACCACTGCAATTGCAACAGTGCTTCAATCAAATTGCATAAATTTATTCAGTGATAACTTTATGTAAACTGCAAAATATTGGCACAACTGTGGGCCAATAACTGTTTATGGGGTAAATTAATTAATGTTTTGTAACAAAAACAAAAATACTGAAGATATTGCTACCCACACACTGCTGAGTGCCAGATTACAAACATTTACTGGACTGTGCCTAGTTAGACTAAAAACTTTATACTGTGCTCATTATTAATCCACATGGAGACAATCTCTGGAGACTGACTGGTCTGTATATTTCGGCCCCCTTCTGGGATCCTTTTCAGCAGGAAGAGGATCCCAGAAAAGGATCCCAGAAGGGGTTCCCAGAAGAGAATCCCAGAAAAGAATCCCAGAAGAGAATCCCAGAAAAGGATAACAGGAGGAGGATCCCAGAAGAGGATCCCAGATGGGGATCAAAATGTACAGATCAATTAATTAACTGAGTTTCTGTCTCCATGTGGCTTATTACTGAGCACTGATAAGTGTTTATTATACTTTATTCACATTATACTGTATTATACTGCATTATAAATATAGACTTATGCCTTTGGCAACTCTATGGTAATGTGACAATTTATGTACAAATAAACTATTTAATTAAATGAAATTTAGGCACAAATGTACATCTTTAAGTTATATTCAACTTCTACTACAACATGTCATGAAGGCCTATTGGCAGAGATCAAGATCATTTTCAACCGTCTAATACGACAGGTTGAGTTCATTCCTTACGAAAAGGTAAATATAAGGGTACAGTACAGTTTGAGTTATTACTATCAACACCCTCTCTACTAACCTATAAGCACACACATTACTACACGCTGCACTGTAAACTAGTAGTAAATTTGGAATCATTTTCAGATGATGATAATCACCAAAATACTTTGATCTGATCATGGTCTGTAATTAGCTTGAAGTACATCTCTAACATAGATGCGTGTTTCCTATGGGAGCCCAGTCTTTGAGGGGGAGATTTCAAAAAAAAGTCTTCCCTAAATATTTCAAATGACATTAAGTATTAAAAGACTTAAGCAGGAGCATTTAAAATATTTGTCAAAGAATACTCACTGCTGGCCTTGGCCCCATAAAAGAAAAGCAGTAAGTGCTAGCATTGAGAATAAATATTTGTAAAATGAATGGACATGCAAAAGAGTAGAAGGAAAAAATCACAAAAAAGTTTAGAGGGACATGTGAGAAAAAAGACAAATAGAAAAATAAAATTTACTGTGAAGGTAATAAGGAAGGAGAAAGAGTTGACGATGAAGTAGGACTAGTGTGAGAGTAGCCCAAGTTAAACACTACCACTGAGGAATGGAAGGAGAGAGAGAGAGAGTGGATCATGAAGTGGGGATAGCGTGAAAGTAGCCCAAGTTAAACAATACCTCTGAGGAATGGAAGGAGAGAGTGGATCATGAAGTGGGGCTAATATGAGAGTAGCCCTAGTTAAACACTACCACTGAGGAATGGGATAAGCCCCTCACCTGTGCTATGGTAGTGCTTTCATGGATATGCCTAGGTCAAGCACTCCATTACCTGGGTAGAATATAACTCAGGAGTATTGCCATGGTATAGTGTATATTATAGTGTGACTTAGAACAAACACAAGTAAACATACACACATATGCACACATAAGGGCACATGCACACACACATGCACACACAACATATATACCTATACATACATACCTATACTTACATACATACATAAACAGCTGCAGCCTGCAAGATGTATTACTTAATTAACTATAACATGGTTTTAACCATTGGGTCAATCAGGTATAACACTGATGAAAAGCTCATTAATGCAAGTCAAAAAAGCATAAGCAGATATTGCATTTGCTTTTATTTCTCATCATCAAGCGGTAGTCTGCACATCCTCTCTCTCTCTTTCTTTCTGATGCATCTGAATCATGCACATAAAATATCCCAAAATCAACAAAATATATACACATTAATTTAACAAATTGCATATGTTTGTGAACAACTTTGTTTTGCCAAATTGGCACCAGGTGTTCGTCATACATTATAAAACTCATAAGTCTGAAACAAGTTTAGTGTTAAATTATAACAAAGAATCAGTGTGAAGAATGAAGCTTCAACTTGCAAGTTGATCATTAAAACAGTGTTATGTTTATGAACCATTAAGAGATACATGAGTGGAGATGTGGCAGTCAGACCCATCCAAGGCTTACTTGCACATTACCAAGGGAGGTCAGGGAACCCTTTGTAATGCCAACACCAGGGCAACCGACCCAGGGAAAGTCAAGTAAGTGTCATGGCTGACTTGGACGTGGATGGTGGTGGTGGCATACGCAGGGTGAGGGTTGGTGGGCACTAGAGGAGAGGGAGTTACCCTACATGCATCACTTCCGGAGAGTCAGGTACACAATGCCAAGCCAAAACACTCAGCCAAAGCTTCAAGGACTCACAAGTAGGTAGACTCGCCTGCAAAAGTCAAAGCTCTGGCGTTACTTAATAAAAAAGCTCACTTTTAAAACACACAATATTAAACCTCAGTGTTACACCCATGTACAGATGTATGTGCATAATGAAGTGCAATTATTGTTCTCCAATAAGTTTATATTAAAACTTCACATTTTAAACAATCCATTTTCATTATACACACTTTTAAACCTTTGTCAGTACTGAGTCACAAGAAATATTATACATTCCACATAAAGGATGACTTTGTTCAGCAAAAATCTGTAACATATTTACACAGTAGTATTACAATTAGAAGAGTAATGTTTATAGAACGTGCAATATACCGAGTGCTCCAAGGCATCCCCTTATCCAGTGCTCCAAAATGCATGCATTTCTGGCAAGTCAAGCGCAAAATACCATGCAAATACTCTGAGAAGGTTAAATGGTATGAGCATAAAAAGAACAGTGACACTATGAAAATGCCTTTTAAAGAAGCTTCATAACCTCCAGGTAAAAAAAGTGAGTGATTACAAAAGGCCATAAAATAGGAGATATAAAGACAAATTTAATATAAACATCTTTAATGAGGATCTTCAATTAAGTGTGACATTGTTAGTAATTTAAAGCCTTCATTAAACTACACACTTGCCTACCAAGACTATTGTTAATTATATCCTAATTACATGGCCAATAAAGGCTTAAAGTGACTAACCACATCACAAATAAACATGTTCTACATAGAGTAGGAACCTCTAGCTGTATGAAATTTACAAAATATTTTCCCTATGATGATTCAACATCTAAGAACCTGTACACCACTCTTAGCTATCAGTAGTGATCTATTTTAACTTGAACAATGAGTACAGTTTCATGAGATCTCAAAATGTATATACAAAAGACAGTGATTATCACGAATTCCATTGCCACCTTCTGGCAAGGGGCAGGCAAAAGGAGCCACACCAACAGAAAATTATTAGCATGGCAAGAATTATAAAATATCTATACAAGTTTTAGCCAAAGCAAAACCCTCAACATCTACAAAATATGAGTTAAATATCTCACATGTTGAAAATCCCTATGAACACATTTTTGAAAATGTTAAGGGACACGTAAGTACCCCTAATAACATGTTCATTTTACCACTATAATCCACCTTGTCCATAATTACTATTGCATTTGCTCTGTCTGCTTTGGTAAGGTGAAGTCTAGGATCCTTCCTTAATTTATAGTATAACTTAACAAATCTTTGATGACAATTGTGTTGTAGATGTTTGAGCAAAGCTCAGACCTCCATGTGATAGTAATTATGGACAAGGTAGATTATAGTGGAAAAATGAACATGTTGTTAGAAGACAGGGGTACTTATGTGCCTCTTAAGAGGGAGATTAACTTTAAGTTGCACCATTTTAAAGTGTAGAGTAAATGGGTAGATAAATGAGACTCTTTTGTAACATAGGGGAAACTTTATTCTGGAAATGTTCTGCCATGCAGTAGCTTCTCCAGTCCTATGCAGAGAGAGGTTGAAGATGAGGAGGAGTTTGAGGTAATCAATCCCTCAGTCTAAGAGTCAATGTGTTCATTCCATCAATCTTGACAAAAGTCACATTGACTCCAGGCTGAGGGACTCATTACCTCAAACTCTTCTTCATCTTTCACCTCTCTCTGCAATAGACTGAAGAAGCCACTGCATGGCAAAATGTTTCCAGAATAGAGACTCCCAAATATTTCTCAAGTGTCTCATTTATCAACTTGTCAGTATCTAAACCATTTATACACACACAAATGGATAGAGGAAGATCTGCAATGTGTTTGTGTTCAGTTGCTCAACTGTAACTGTGGTGGACATAGGTGTTAAGTCCAGTCATGTGAAGAAATACAAATAGAATATTTGTGCCCAGATCTGAGGGTTCTACCCTCACAGCCCAGCGTGAGGCTAGGCTTTCTTGTCGATGGCTTGGCTATTTAGGCCATTGCTGTTAGTGGCATGCAAACATACATAGCCATCATGGTACAACTGATCTGGCACCTGGAGGTATTGGTTCAGTTCCCTCTTGAAAACTTGTATTATTTCCCTAAGAATCTTCTTAAGACACAGAAAAAGTAAGGAATTCCAATTATAAATATATCCTCTATGTTATCAAAAACTGACCTGTCATTTAAACTGCTAATCACACTTTACAAGTTAAAAATCTTTAGATTTAGATATATTCATAGCAGCAAACTTAACAATCAAAAACAGTTTTATTTTCAAATCAATTCCACCATTCAACAAATAAATATTTCCATGCACCTGAGGTGACAGTTTACAGGGAGAGGAATGGAGGGGTGAGAAAGGGAGGGAAGGAGGAAGAGGGAGAGGAAAGAAAAGAGGGGAGGAAGGGGAAATGAAAGGAAGAGAGGTAAAGGAGGTAAAAAGTAGGTGGGACAGGGAAGGAGTAATGAATTTTTAATTGAAATCAAGATTTAATAAAAAAAACTTATTTATTATTAAAAAACTATCTGAAGATTATTTAGAGATCCCATTGTATAAGATTTCCATATACAGTACAAGTATTATTATAGTCAGGGGAAGTGCTAAACCCATAGGGGTCATACAGCACCTGAGGAAAGTAAGATAGCCAGGTTAATCTACAAGGGAGTGTAACTTGGGGATGCCCAGGGCATGTGAGTGTAGCTTGGGGATGCCCAGGGCATGGGAGTGTAACTCGGGGATGCCCAGGACATGAGAAACTCCTACATATGGTAAAGTCCTCTCAAATTCACAAGACTTTTTTCTAACTTATTTGAACGTTACGTATTATAGCTAAGTTATTCCTTTACATGGGAACAGTAATATAGTAGGGTTCTATTGACTTAAAATTGTTATGAGTATCTCTTTTCCAATAGCTTTTATCAAAATATACTTTTAAATACTATGGAAAATGGCAGTTCCTGGTACATTATTCACTGGAAAGCTGTTGCCACAATCAAGCCTAACTAAAATTTGGCTATTCAGTTTGACTCCCAAATGTTGCAGTTTACCACCGACTAAAGCACAATATTGTTCACTATAGCAAACAACTTCTTCAATCTTCACAGTTATCTTCTTGTTCAAATATTATCAACTGCTGACACTTTTATACAAAGTTTTGAGAAAATGTCTCAAATGTGTTTTTCCTCAGTAGTAGAATACCAGTTGCTCAATATAAAATTACATAGTGTTCTCAGTATCAATAAGCAAATTCCTTCAGAGTTATGAAATTCTTAGCTTTACAAATAATCAGTATATAAACATTAAAAAAGTGTCCATTAAAAATTTCTGTAACATTTGCTCCTATAGCCAGACAAGATTTACCAAAGGCAATGAACTCTGTGATAATTGGTACTATGGATTAAGTTAAATGACAGGTGTTACTGACCTGTTCAAAACTTATTATAAGTACCTGAAAGTTAAACCACCCCTCCCTCCCTCCAACCATAACTTTGTAGTCATAAAAAAAATGTTAAACCCATGTGGGTCACCGAGCCCCCCTCCAACCCTAAACATGATATTATAACTTCAACTCACGGAACGGTGGGGTTTCAACCCACTCAATCGTGTTATGATTTTGTGAGTCATTATAAGCTCACAATTACATAAACAAGTCATCAAGATGAAGGGGCTATGTGCCATCAATACTAATTGTGGAGAACAACTTTTTTAACTACTCCAACCAATATAAGATGGGTGAGATTCCTCCTACACAAAACAACTACTGCAAAGCATAGCTAGCAACCTGTGACTGATGGAGCACTTACAGCAAGTGAAATACTCACACTTATAAAATGCTCTTTACAACAGTGCTAGCTGGTAGCCAACAAAACAGTTAAGGGAGCAATATACACTATTTCTAAACTATTCAATTTTAACAAAAATTCTCTGGAAAATTATATGTCTGGAAAGATAAGCCTTGGCACTAACATGTATAAAATAGTTGTACCTTCTGAAATCTATATTAACATTGGCCCTGATATAATCTTTCTGGATAAAAAGAGTAAAATCAAACATGAAACACCTAGAACATAAAACAGCTAGCACTTAGTGGTAAAATGTCACCTGGCTTTAAGGACCCACATTAAACAACATTGCATTTTTTCGTCTTATTAAATAAAATATTACAACACACATTAATTACAAAAATGAAGAATAAAGATATTCCATCAAATGAATTTGTAATAATTATTCAACATGGAACATTTACATTTCATCTAGATGTGTTGAAGGGTTTTTTGCTCTCCATTACACAAGCCTCTTGAAAGTAGAATATATAACAATGGCACCACTGGAAAAAAAAATTTCTATGTTCATTAGTGACTAGTGCTATTTTTGTATATCCACTGCAATTTACCCTCAATGTAACATAATAAGCTTTTAAAATAGTAGTATCACATAATGAATAAGAAAACATTTCCAATGTAGACACAATAATAATGTTTAGCCGAGTGAATCAACAAGCGTACAAGTCTTTGCATTATAGGCTTCTCGAGTCTAACATCATCGGGACTTTGTACTTGGACAACATTCACTATCAGTATGAAGAATGTCAGCCAGCATGAACTTTGTCTACAACAAAATGAATGCTATTATGGTGAATGAAGTGAACACATCTCATGGTGTACAACATGAGCCTCTCTCACTGTGTATATATGAACACCTGCCATGGTACATGACATGGCCACCTCTCATGGTACATGACATGGCCACCTCTCATGGTACATGACATGGCCACTTCTCATGGTGCACAACATGGCAGCCTCTCACAGTACATGACATGACTATCTCTCATGGAGCAACATATGAGGAACCTTCATGGCACATGACATACATAAACACCACATTATGACTTAACAGTAAAGTATCACATTTCTTCATATTTAGCATCCAAAGATGAAAACTCCACGACTCTACATGTACAAAAATTAAGTGTTTTGGGAGTCAAAGAGGCGATACAAACAGCATAATTTAGTCAACACATCTTGAAAGAAGTGACCACAAGGTCAGTGCACTGTTCATCTTGCTTGTAATCATGTACTTTAATAGTTTTTCATAAATAATACAAAGCCATGTCAGCTAACTTCTTACTTCTTAAATTATTCAACAGACACATTCTATATACATTAAAACAAATATGAGTGATGTTCAGATTTTGGGAGTGACATGAGAGTTACTCTCTCTGGTTCTTGTAGTATGGGTTAGCAACACACACACGAATTCCATGACAGACAAATGCAGTTACATGGGCCTTGTATTGACAAAGTTTTGCCCATACAGTGGATTTCATTGAGTGAACTGATAAAACCCACTAGGTGAACAAAACATTGCCAATAAAATTTCCATATAATTACACTTGTGTCTACTCATCATGATTCTTGCAGTATCATGCAATAGCCTCTCAAGAACCACCCTTACCACTCCTAAAATTGATCACTATCATAATATTACAAACAATGGCACTACATAATCTAAATATTTTCATTTTGAAGTTAAAGCTAAACTGCAAACACAAAATGTATACTCTTGCATATTGTATTTTAAATACATTACCAGACATCAGTTTACAACCTTCTGCATTCCACAAATCGTTGCAAAACACATAAAGTACAGAGGTTTCCTCTGGGAGTTGATATTAATCTCTCAACTGATACAAAGCCAGCAAGCAGAATTCTTTGTAAGCTACCTTAGAGAAATAATGTCGAGTCCTTGACTCCTGAAGATGTTGAGTGGCTGTAGTATCTGCTAAGCATACTACACATAACTGCTGTGCTTCTTACACAGAGGTACTGACACAAGTCAACTTTGCCCCAAAAAATACACTTTTCAAAATATTTATCTTATACCTTGCTAGATATAAATTTTTGTAAACTAATAAAGTAATATATATAGGCTTTTAATTTTGTATCAAAATAACTTAAAGTTCACCTAATCTTGATAAAACTAACTTAAATATACTATAACCTAATCCAATCCAACTTATCTTGGTATTATTGAACATCAATGAAATACAGTACAATAATTTAATGAGTATTTGACTTATTTTTGTGGAAATGCAACATTAAAATTCCATTCTGTTTGTTTATGAAAATAATCAATGCTTTATAAGACAAGACTGCAAGCTCTGCCTGAAGAGCATGACACAGCCACCTCTTACATCACTTTGGGAAGATATATGACAGATAATTTATAAATAAAAAACTCAAAGGTATTAATAGGCTAGCTAGGCCTACTAAATGTCTCAGCCTACAAAATTAAGCTGGAGTGGCTAGCAATTGTACAGGAAGATTAGAGCACACAATATGCCAGAATACCTCAAATTCTGTCATTGCTTTTTTTTGCACTCTTGACTAGGTCGTTAATAACTGTTCCATAATGATTATGGCTGTAATGAAGAGGGAAAAGAAGGGAAACAGAGATGGGAGGGAGGGGAAGGAAACAACAGGGAAGAGAATTATTTGCTGATGCTTATTACAAAAGTACCATAGGAGCCACAAAGACTTATCACACCTACAACAAAGATCTCCACAGACTTGCCTTTTGGCAGTTGGAAGAAGTTCAACACTGGGTCATCTCTTTTTGGGAAGTGGTGGAAAATGAAAACTGGCATCAGGAAGGAGGAGAGGACTTCAAAGTTGGTTAACATTAGTCAGTGAATAAAGAAATTTTTTACCTGGGACACAAAACCACCACCCCTAGATTAACAGGAAGTGACTAACGTTATCAACTATCATAGTTTACTTATACTCAGACCAATTTGCTGTCATGACGCAAGTTCCTACTAGTAACTTCATGTTTGATGCAACTATGTTCAAGTTGTAAGGAGTGACAAGAAGACAGAAGAGCTTAATCTCCTTATACCACTAAACACAGGAAAGGCTTAGGGATTGGGCAAACCCAAAATTGTGTGATGTGCTGACCACCTAGCATAACATCTCATTCACTTCTACCAGATCTGTCTAGTAAAGGATAAATTGCCCTTTGTGGTCAAAGGGTTGGAACACCACATGCACGCAGAACACATTATACAGTGTATTTGTTATATGTAAATAGAGACACTGGCACTTGCCATCAAAGAATGAGACAAAGAATGGTGATGTGAAGAATCTGCCATTATAAACACAGAGTAAGAATAGGTACATGTTAGCTATTCCTGTATACAAGTCCTTTATCTCACATACTCCCTAATGACTTGATAGTCACTATGTGGGTGAAATGCTGTGGTTAATAAAGGCCTCCAGTGACTGGAGCACCAGTCACTGAATAAATCCAAAACCACTGGACAATATTGGTGCCAGTAACCAGGCATTGCACTGAGGCCTCTTGCAAAACTACAAGCAGTAAAACTCTCTGGCTTCATTCTACACATGAATGACAAACTACAAAACTATTCTTTCACTGTTGTTTTTTATGGAAAAGTGCAGGTCACTTAATCAGCACCAGTGTACCACAAGGGTGAGTGTTTGGTCCCTTGCTATGGAATGTCTACTTTCATGGCAGCCTTCACCTCATCCTTGAATGCTGTGCCTGTACAGATGACCTCATTAACATTGATTCACACAGATGAAGATGATCAATGCCTTCAGGAAGGTTAATTGCGAGTAAGAGGCTGTCTGTCTCCGATAAGCAATGGCAGGAAACTTTTGTTACCGAGATACCAGAAAATGATCATCTCTAGACAGGATGATGTTGCTACTGAAACTGGTACAAAAATGCATGGTGGAGATTTAGCGCTCAATGTTAGTGACAACAGAGGCTGCAAAACCATAAAAGGCACAAGTTCTCTATCAGCATGTATCACTCTCTTGACTCCCCTGCCTCCAGTTTAATCTCCAGCTAATGGATAATGATGAGGATTGCACAAGGCAACTGAAGTCTTGTCTTTCCCCAACATGGTTAGCCTGTCACATCAGAATAACCTTCAACACTGGAAAGATGAGAGCACCCTTACTGTTATGTATGTACAAGCCCAATATTTTCAGGGTCCTCCACCTGGAACAAAGTCCTGGGCAGCCATGCCATGAAGACAGGTATTACATGACACCACAGACAACCATCAGTAACTTCATGTCTTTCTGTACACTTCCCAAAGAAATAATTACATCAGTAATTTCAGTGTGACTGTAGTCTTCTCAAAGAAACCACTCTATCAATGATCATTCATTCTTATACAGTACTGGCTTGCATTAGCAACAAGTTCTCACAACAATTTACATTGGGGAAATCAAATTATCAGAGCAAATAAAAGTTGAGGTTCAGAGCTGGCTTGACCTGGATCTCTATATGAAGCTTGCTTGATATTTGAAGTGCACACCTAGAAATGAATTGTACTAAACAAGTTTCTAAAGCCAAGTAATGAAATAAGCTGAAGATGATAAGCTCTTGGCTTGGGACATAACAGCACAAATTCTCAGCCTAACCACTGCAAGATCTGTGGAGAGTAACAGAGAGAGATGGTGAGCAGAGGGTAAAGGAAGGGGAGGAAGGAGGAAGAGAGAGAGGACTGAAGGAGGGGAGGAGAGAGAGAGAGACAAGAAAAAAAAAGTACAACAATGATAAAGTGAGGTGAGGAAGACAGTAAAGTTAAGACTGGTGTGTGACTAGAGTCACTCACCCCCTGATGACTCACAACTACCAGATGTGGATCACCATTAGTGTCTTGGAGCGCACACACTACTCGATGCACTGGAAACATCTCGCTACCGAAAAGTGAGAAACTATAACTAATTTAATGTTTAATCTTCAGTCTGCCTGAAATACACTGCATAACTATTATGCTTTTCCAGGTTTGATACACCAATACACAATGTAATACTATGCACATTGGAAAATAAATTTTACTTTATTTTTCTGTAAGTGAACAGAAAAACAAAAAAAATATGAGGTAAGGTCTGTAAATTTTGAATCGAGTCAAAAATCCTCTTCTGGAGGTGGTCTCCACCTAAAACTGAAATAACTGGATTTCTCTTTACATGCATTTAATTTTTCTAGGTGATTTCTTACTTTTCATCAATGAGTGGTCATGAGACTTAAGTGCAAAAGCATCTCAGTATTAACATCTCTCACCTGAGCTCGCATCAATTACTTCTTTATTTGTAAGCCAATTCTGCTCTGTTATCCACTCTTCCAATTGTTTTATGTGGGGCATGAACTATGCTTTATGTTGTAAAATTCAGAGACTAATTAACTGCTTTACAAGTCTCGATAAAGCGGTTCATAAATAACAGATAAGCTCAGGTGTTAACAATACAGCCTCTCCTCACTTAGTGACATACTTATTTACCAACGACTCGGACTTACGACGGGCTCATACCTAAATAATGTATATTAGAGCTGATTTCCTCTATTCTGTTAATTACAATATACAGTACACTGTATAAACATTTAAACATATACCAGAAATGTTATAAATTGTGCAAACCTACTACCATTACAGTATGCTCCTCATTTAGCGACGAATTTGTTTACCAACATGGTCTTAGGAACAGAACTATGTCGTTAAGTGAGGAGAGGTTGTATACAGTTCACACTCAGCAGCAGAAATCAAAACACTGTTTACCTATAACTAACCCAACATTACAGTACAGGGGATCCTCAACTTACAGACGCCCGAACTACCCGAGTCAGACTTACAACTGAGGTTCAAAAATGACACCGAGAAAACAATTATTTTATGAATGCCAGTCTGCAGTTACAAACACATGTGATACACCAACATCCTTTGTCTTATCGTTTCCGACAGGATAATAGGATCGAGGTTACAAATGATTCATTTACAGGTTTTAAACACTGGGAATGCAACTCATAGTTCATAAGTTGGGGTCATCCCTATAGATGTTTTGTAACAAACACTGGAGGCTGTGAATGATGACAAGATTTAATATAATCTATGGTTCACATAAACACAAATCTAGGGCTACCTATGGTTCTGATCTACAGTTAATTTGGCAAACAATTACATTTTGTATATCTACAAACAAAACTAGTCTGTGGTTGTAGCAGTATAAAAAAAAATGCATCTATAAATATATAAGCATATTAATTGCATCAAGAGATGCTTGCCAGGACAAATAAAAGACACAGTAACAATATTTGAAAGCAATAAGACACTTTCTGCTGAGAGCATTAGACTAGGTAAACATATCAAATTTAGATATATTTCTGATTAGCCCTGAGTTACTATGGACACAAAAAAAAAAAAAAAAAAAACACGAAACGGATGGGATTTGAATCCATGGCAAGTGAGTGGGGTAAAACTTCAGGCCAGTGTGTAAGCCAGTAAGCCGGCTGGCCCAGTGGCTTACACACTGGCCTGGAGATCCACCACTCACTCACCACAAGTCTGAACCCCACCTGTTCCGTGGTTTGTTTACAATCGTGTTATTACGATTTTGTGAGTTACTGTGGACATTTTGCATGCCATATAAAATGAATCATTATGTTAAAATAACAATAAATAATACTTATATCAATTATAAACCCTCGGTATAATAAAAATAAAAATACAATGCTATTCTTAATAACATGAATTTGGAGTACTAATTTCAGTGACCAAAGCCATTATCACATCTTTTTCTCAAAAAATAGATTATAGAAAACGACAAGGATACCGACCCTAAAAACTAGGGCAAAAATAAGATATTTGTCTTAGAACATTTTCATTCTCCATTTACACAAGTGCAACCAAACTCTGCCACAAACATTGGTGGAGAAGACGGAGACACAACACTCGTGGCTTCACCCAACACTTGACCCTAACACTCATAAAGCCAAGAAGAGGTAGATGTGACAAGGGTTATAATCACTCTTCAGACCAGTTTCAGAAGTGCCGTCTCTTCAGCCCCTTTTTCAGGGCTGCCATCTCTTCAGCCCCTTCTTCAGGACTGCCATCTTTGCAGCACCTTTTTCAGGGCTGCCATCTCTTCAGCCCCTTCTTCAGGACTGCCATCTTTGCAGCACCTTTTTCAGGGCAGCCATCTCTTCAGCTCCTTTTACAGGATTGCTGTCTCTTCAGCCCTTTTTTCCAGGGCTGCTGTCTCTTCAGCCCCTTTTTCAGGAGTGCCATCTCATTGTACACAACATTCTTGCTAAGGTGTTTAGGAAGGAAACTTTGCATTCGTCCGGGAAAATTCATTATCACATAAATAACTTAACAATTATATTTCTCTTGAAATATTTGACATTCACATACAAGTTAATTTTTAACATGTAATATTGCTAATGAGAAATGTCTTATGAAAACCGTGCGCTGGTGAGCCATTGTTTCCACAACCACATGTGCAATTAATGTGCATATAAATTATGATCATGTGAAAAAAAGTTATGAAAAAATGGAAGGATGGCTTCAATCTGTAAGATTCACTTTGGCAGAAGTGAACGACCCAGAGCTGAGAGAGCAGGAGTGAAGTGAGGAGAGTGACCAACCGTTTGCCCAGCAGGTCGCAGAAGAGGTGAAGTGTGGGGGGGTCACAGGAGCACCTCCGACCCCTCCGCTGAAAGGAATCAATGTGTTATGCAGGTTGTCTCCACACCTCTCAACAGTGGCCACCATTAATGTAAATAACCACTTGCATACAAAGCACAAATAATCATTTATTATCATAGTGGATAGTTAACACAAAGGTATATATGTACACACATTGAACTTGCTTACAAACAAAGCACAAAAAATTATCTAACATCATTATTTTTTAGCCAACAAAAAGTATATATTGCATCCTACTTGCATACAAATAAAACAAAAACATTTATTATTATCTTATAGTGGTTATCTGTACAATAAATATATGTATAAATATCTCTAGCTCTCTCTCTCATGTGTGCACACACACACACACACATATACACACTCATGTGCACACACATATACACACTCATTGCACACACACACACACACAAAACACAAAAACATCTTGATAATTAATTTTTTTGATTGGTGTTGTAAAAAACAGTCGAGTGTTCCATAAATTAATAATTTTGTGTGTACTCATTTATTTGTGGTTGCAGGGATTGAGATACAGCTCCTGGCCCTGCCTCTTCACTAATCACTACTAGGTCCTCTCTTGCCCTGCTCCATGAGCTTTATCATGCCTTGCCTTAAAACTATGTATGGTTCCTGTTTCCACTACATTGCTTGCCAGACTATTCCACTTTGTGTGTGTGTGTGTGTGTGTGTGTGTGTGTGTTGTACATACTAATTGTGGTTGCAGGGATCGAGACTCAGCTCCTGGCCCCGCCTCTTCACTGATCGCTACTAGGTCCTCTCCCTCTCTGCTTCCTGAGCTTTGTCATACCTTTTCTTAAAACTATGTATGGTTCCTGCCTCCACTACTTCACTTGCTAAGCTATTCCACTTCCTGATGACTCTATGATTGAAGAAATACTTCCTAACGTCCCTGTGACTCGTCCTGAGTCTTCAGCTTCCAGTTGTGACCCCTTGTCCCTGTGTCCCCTCTCTGGAACATCATGTCTCCCCTGACCCTTCTGTCCTCCAGTGTCATCAGTCCGATTTCCCTCAACCTTTCCTTGTATGACATTCCCCTGAGCTCTGGGACTAGCCTTGTTGCAAACCTTTGTACTTTCTCTAACTTCTTGATGTGCTGTGTGTGTGTGTGTGTGTGTGTGTGTGTGTGTGTGTGTGTGTGTGTGTGTGTGTGTGTGTGTGTCGTGTGTGTGGGGTGTGCGTGTGTTGTGTGCGTGTGTGTCGTGTGCGTGTGTGTCGGTGTGCGTGTGTGTCGGTGTGCGTGTGTGTGCGTGTGTGTGTCATGTGTGCGTGCGTGCGTGCGTGTGTGTGTGTGTGTGTGTGTGTGTGTGTGTGTGTGTGTGTGTGTGTGTGTGTGTGTGTGTGTGTGTGTGTGTGTGTGTGTGTGTGTGTGTGTGTGTGTGTGGTGTGCATGCGCTCACACAATTGTACTTACCTAATTGTGGTTGCATGGGTGTGTTTCATCTGCTCACCTAACAATACTCAGTGTTCAAGAACACTTCATCTTCAATAGTGTCATAAGTTAAGAGAAACACCCACTCGTGATAACTTTACCCCAACTATGCATTAATTTTCTCCCACCTCATAAATCTACATGCAAGATTTGAGGTTAATGAATGTTAATGTGTTAAGTACCATAAGGTAATCAATTTTAATGTGTTAAGTACCTTGCATCTGCAATACTGTGTGGTACAAAAATTTTGGACAAAGGTTCTTGCCCTAATTTCGTAAAATTAGCAATTTTTTTTTTATTTTTTTTTTTTTTTGTTTTCCCATCTGGATATATGCAAGATAACCGAAACACATAACCACTGGAATTTTTTCCAGGGCAGTGAGTAAACCACTGGGCCAGCTAGGTACAATAATACTCATCCAAACAGGTAAACATATTTATACATCATAGGGAGGTTAGAATGGGCCACCACTGTAACCACAAATGCAAGTTTTTACAGATGAATCTCTCGCCAGCCACGCCGGCCCATGCTAACCTCCCTATGGTGTATTAATATACCAAGTTGGATGAATCTTATTGTAGCCAGCTGGTACAGTGGTTTATGCACTGGCCTGGAGTTTTACCACTCACTCGCCATGGGTTTCAAACCCACCTGTTCCATGGATTGTCCGCAATCGTTTTATTACGATTTCTTGAGTTATCTGCATACGTTAAGCCCTAAATAAGAAAAGGTAAATACTTCATAACCAAGTAAGTGTAGCATGTTTCAACAGTCTCATGGATTTGCTTGTATCATTTTAACATGACACCCTCAAACACTACTGATAATATAATAAACCATAGTATGGGAGGGGATTGGACCCAGCAGTGAGTGGGTCATAAAACTCCAGATCATTCTGGAGTTTTATGACCCACTCATCGTGGGTTCAATCCCCGTCCATACAGTGGATTGTTTGCAAATGTGTTATTATGATTTCTTAAGACACTACTGATAATACTGTGTCATTTTCAACATATGACAATACAGCATGTCAAACACAACACACTGCATGATTACCTGATCATGATTACTGTGCTGTCTTATAATTACAGGACAAGGGATAAGCTCGTGGCATCTCTCTTCAGTGTTTATGGTAGCTGTTATGTATGGTAGATGATGGACAGTGAGCCAACAAATGGGTGAAAAGATGCAAGAAAGAGCACAAGACTCATCAAAACGTTTCTCTCAAGAGAAGCTTTATCAAATTACGGTAAAGCTCTCCCTGAAGTGAAGGTATGGTAGAGCTCTCCCTGGTATAAAGATATGGTAGAGCTCTCTCTGAAGTGAAGCTATGGTAGAGCTCTCCTTGAAGTGAAGCTAAGGTAGAGCTCTCCCTAGTGTCAAGCTATGATAGAATTCTCCCTGGAATTAAGGTATTTTATAATAAAGGCTTACCCTGTTTCATGCCTATTCAACGGTAGCTTTTTACCTGTGACCTGCTGGCTGGCCACAATCTTTCTGAGTACATACCTCCATTTGTTTGTGTGGTGCACTGATATAGTATCGCTGATGAGGCCTGTAAGCTTGTCTCACTGCTAGACAGCAATGTCTTGATCTTGATCAGTGTATACACACACACACACTCATTAAACTAGAGTTTAACCCTTAAACTGTCCAAACGTAGATCTACGTTTTTTTAACATTTGAATGTAAAAAACGTACTTTTATTTTTTACATTTGAAAACTTGTAAAAAAAAAACTTTGATCTACGTTTCTTTTTGTTATATTTGAAAACATGTAAAAAAACATAGATCTACTTTTGGAGCATTACGCATGTGAACGTAGATCTGTTTGGACAGTTTAAGGGTTAACATATCAAGGAACATTTGATAGCCTTGCTTTCCTCACTCCACAGAAAGGAGATTTATAAATATCTGATCTTTACTTTTGTCTTTTTATACGTATATATTTTTTAGCATGATTTATGAAACAAGTTTTTTTTTTTTTTTTTTTGGCAAAACTGAAATTGTCACTGGGTACTATCGCAGTGGCATGGTGGCAACTGTTGGGTCACACCACACGGAGAAAACCTGTGTGCCAGGATGGGTCCTGGTGAACCTACCTGTACCTGGGTGGTAGCAACAAGTATTAGCTTAAGAACTGTAGTGCTGCATAATGAAAACTGAAAATAGACCCCTTTGAGAATGATCAAATATGGAAAACTTCAGAGAAAAGCCTATTGTGGTAAAAAATAAAATCCTGCCAGGAATTATCAGAGAAGAGCATCTTTGATGATAAACAAATTCAACTATTGCAAGAGAACTTGAGACAAGAGTATCATGTGTGATAATACATACTCTACTACTAGAAGACAGCCAATGAGAGCATCTGGGGCAATAATTAATAAGAAGTTATTAATGGACCTGTGTTGGCAAACTTTAATACAGCTTTCAGATTTAAGGACTGCAAAATGTTAAGCAACTGGACTGCAATACATCTCACGCAAGAATCAGGACATGCGGCTCTTATACATCATCTACATAAAAAAACATTAAAAAAACAAAGAAAAAATCTCTTGTTGGTCAAGAGAAAGAAAGAGAGATGTGTTAAGTACACTGAAGACCACAGAAGATGTGAGAAAATAAATAATGAAAGTATCTAAGCACCAAGAACAAGGGACCAGTAATCCCTTCTCCTATACAAGTTACCTAAAGATGACACTCTTCAGGTCACTTGTTCTATCTAGGCTGGAATATTGCTGCACACCAACAGCACCTTTCAAGGCAGGTGAAATTGCTGACCTAGAAAATGTACAGAGAACTTTCACGGCGCGCATAACGGAGATAAAACACCTCAATTACTGGGAGTGCTTGAGGTTCCTAAACCTGTATTCCCTGGAATGCAGGTGGGAGAGATACATGATTATATACACCTGGAAAATCTTAGAGGGACTAGTACCGAACTTGCACACAAAAATCACTCACAACGAAAGCAAAAGACTTGGCAGACGATGCAACATACCCCCAATGAAAAGCAGGGGTGTCACTAGCACGTTAAGAGACAATACAATAAGTATCAGGGGCCCACGTCTGTTCAACTGCCTCCCAGCATACATAAGGGGGATTACCAATAGACCCCTGGCTGTCTTCAAGCTGGCACTGGACAGGCACCTAAAGTCGGTACCTGACCAGCTGGGCTTTGGCTCGTACGTTGGATTGCGTGCAGCCAGCAGTAACAGCCTGGTTGATCAGGCTCTGATCCACCAGGCGGCCTGGTCACAGACCGGGCCGCGGGGGCGTTGACCCCCAGAACTCTCTCCAGGTAAACTCCAGGTATGTTGCAGTTTTTGAAATGTAGTGTTGGTTCTCCTCTGCTAAGACAATGATGGAGTGAGTGATGATGAAAGCATTTCGTCTTTTTCAGGTCACCCTGTCTTGGTGAAAAACTGCCGATGTGCCAAAAAAAAAAAATAAAAAAAAAAATTCATTTTTCTTTTTAGGTCACTGTCTCAGTGGAAGACCGTTGGTACATTAAAAAAAAAAAAAATCTCACCAACATCAACAGGGAGGAGCAGAGGAGGCCATAATTGTATAACATTAAAATGCAAGGCACAAACACTAGAAAATATTTCTCCATCGAGTAGTGTGTTTATCATGAGTTGATAAATTCATGGGGGTCACACAGCCCCTGAAGAATGAGATAATCCCATAGGGGTCACACACATCTGGGGGAAGCACTAAACTTGTATGGATCTTATAGTGCCTGGGAAAATGGGAGGTAATCAGGCTTGATTTAAGGGGTGGGGAGAAAGCAGCTCCAATTCCTTAGAACAACAGCCACTCACCATCATCACAGAATGGAAGATAGATAAGACAGAATACCACGAGGAAAGCCCAGCTCTGACAACAATAAACAAGTTATCAAAAACAGGTAATCACATTGTATATATGTTGGTAGAATTACCGACAATATGTAAAGTAAAAGGACACAAGTGCAACTAATGTGACATTTTATTGTGGCAACGTTTCGCTCTCCTGGAGAGCGAAACGTTGCCACAATAAAATGTCACATTGGTTGCACTTGTGTCCTTTTACTTTACAGGTAATCACATACATCTACACATAAATGGTTGCACAACGCGAATTAATATTAAGGTTTGTCATTCGTAAACACCATCAATACTGATCTGGTTGTAAAATTTCAAGGTACTCAACTGGTTAATACACAAGACTGACTCTTCAATTTGCCCTTATTATACTAGAAAATAATTTTAGATTATAGATTTTTTTGAAGATTAAAATAATATATTCAACTCATTATTGTTGCTAAGTTAAGTTTTGATAAAGTGTCACCTACAATTAGGGAAACTTTTCCCATATGTCCAAATTAAAACTATCTTTGAAGACACTCAAATACATGAGCATACAAACTGTTGACCACAAAATTTAATGACAAAACAAATTGACAAAATGCAAGACTTTCTTTTTTTTCTGTCAGGCTGTTATCATATTGCAATGCTTTTCAAGAAAAATCACATCCAAAGAGTACTACATTTATTGCAAATGTTTATACTTTGAGTATAATGAAGAAATGGCTCAAATACAGATCTGGCAGGCTTTCACTGTAGCAACATTTCTGTGTACAGCTTTATTAAGTCAGTCTACACAGAGTGAAACTTTTGCACAAAAACTTGAAAAAAATAATCACAATACTTCAGCTCGAATAACTAACAAATAATGAACACTTAGAAGAGGAATCTTATGATGCCGTAATGGTCTGAATGAACCACTGTCAAATCACAACTGAATCACTGTCAAGTTAGCTATGACTTGATGGTGGTCCATGTCAGACGATAACAGGGTCATGCAGTTCCTCTCCTGAGTGCAGGTTATTTGTGAATTATACAAAAGCCTGCTCTGCACCTGTGCCTTTCCTTCATTAATGTCAGCAGTACACCTTGGTACCCAATTTGTAATGCAGAGAGAGAAAAAAAAATAGATCATTTACAGATACACACAGCCTTACAGAAGAAAAGACCATGCAAGTTTGAAGTGCTGTTCACTTCACACTCGTGTATAAACAACAGTGTCATAGCAGATCAACGTATATAACTACTAGGCTGCGAGATATACAGGTGCTGGTTTACAAAACATGTGCTATGCTCAGTGTAGAATATACATGAAGCTTTTGACACATATTAGATATAATAAGAATTAAGTTTACACACCATGTCACATTTACAACTACTTGTGCTTGTGCTCAAAAAATCAAACAAATGATCTACAATTTGTACTGATTAAACTACCTTAGGTTTTGAAACTTCATGAATTATCAATTATGGCCATATTTTAAATGCTTGCTCAATATTGGTAACTGTACACAATGATATACTGCATGCATCATAATAACAACAATTTACACAATATTAACACAAATCACTGTATGATGCATACAGATGACAACAAGCAGCATAAAATATGGCCTTGATATTCTCAATTGGAAACTACATTCTAGAAACAAGGCAACTGCTCATCAAGAAATAAAAAAAAAAACCTGCGATAGAAAACGTACGGGATGTAGTTCATGTTTGTGTCATGGGGAAGCAGGATGTGTGGTGATGAGGGGGGCTAGGGTCATGTAGGGCCCTCCGGCATCGTGTAATGATTCGGGTGGGCGGCTGAACAGTCCGACATGAGCCGATATCGACCCACGTAGCGCTCTGGGCAGTGGCCATCTGAGGGCGGGTTATTCCACTCTTAATACCAAACACACACACAAAATACTACAGTATTTGCAAAGAATAGTTGGTGAGACATTCTCCATTTAGTGTGTATTTTGTGACAAAAAAAAAAAAACTGAGTAAAGCAAAAATATCAAATACTAAATTTGTGAAGACAAGTCTGACACAGCACACTGTAAACATTCCGTACATAAGAACTACTAAAATGCTTTGTAACACATTAAGTTCAAAAACTTTCATGAAAACCACTTTAAACCATGACCAACTGTGTAACAATGCACCTGAGTGTGCAACAAAATGTGCCAAATCTTTCTATATACTGAATTCATATGGTGCTCAAGAAAAGAAAAAAAAAAAAGATATTTACTGAGATGCTGCAAACTGTAGCTGGTTTCTATGCCCTTTGAGCCTATAAGAAGAATCAGGATGAAGCATTAATCACAGGTCACAAAGAACCAGACATTTTGTTGTGGCATCAACTATAATTTTGCATGTTAGTTATGCACTTGCCTCCATCATCATACATTCATACAACTGAAAAAAAAAAATGAAAACTTCACTTAAGTCATTTTTCGATTATTTCTTATTTACAATGCCAGGATTTATTTGTAACTCTAGTATTTCTTGTTCAGTAATTACTTGCTCTAAAAAACTGTATGAGCAAATTTTTATTATTATTATTATTATTATTATTATTATTTCAACCCATCACAATTGACTGGGAGATGAATTAAAAATTTAATATCTAAAAAAGTCATAAAAGTTATAAAAACAAATTGTCACTTGAAATAAAGTTTTACATTATTATTAACACAAGATGGACCAGGTGCACAAAAACTCATGAATAACATGCAACATAATGAAAAGTGGTAAAATGTGTATAATAAACACAAAAGAAACAAAAAAACACTCATCCTTAACACACAAAATCTATTAAACAACTACGTGACTGACACTATAATAAAATTTATAATATAATTTCTTTAAATCCTTACTTCCATTTTCACAATATTCTGTCTCCAAAACCTGTCTCTTAGAAGCATTGAGCAACTTACATTTTATTAATGGTACACATTACTGATAAGTAGAGCTAAGTACACCAAGACTCATCACTTCGATCCCAAATATGATGTATACTAACTCAAATTATGTTGTAATAAACAACTGTTGCTTAATAAACAGAAGGGTGGACGAGGGCTTCGAACAGTAGTACATAAATTGCCAGTCCGATGCTCTACCGTCTAGGTTAACTCGGTCCTTTCACTGATAAGTTAATAAGACATTTGTGCAAGTTAGGTATCCTTATTCTTAATGTGTTTTGCATGTTCAATTGGCATCTTCAGTTGAAGCACTGAAGATGACTGCTGAACATGAAACACATTTCAGCAACAGACACACTCAAGTGCTGCACTTGCGTCTTACTTGTCCCATATAACACTTCGTAAGTAACCCACACTTAGAGGAGGAAATGTTTCATGAAGTTTGGCTTCATCCTGAACCATTACCAAGTGACAACAAGAAGGACAGTTACCAAGTGACAGCAAGGACAGTTACCAAGTGACAACAAGAAGGACAGTTACCAAGTGACAGCAAGAAGGACAGTTACCAAGTGACAACAAGAAGGACAGTTACCAAGTGACAGCAAGAAGGACAGTTACCAAGTGACAACAAGAAGGACAGTTACCAAGTGACAACAAGAAGGACAGTTACCAAGTGACAACAAGAAGGACAGTTACCAAGTGACAGCAAGAAGGACAGTTACCAAGTGACAGCAAGAAGGACAGTTACCAAGTGACAACAAGAAGGACAGTTACCAAGTGACAACAAGAAGGACAGTTACCAAGTGACAGCAAGGATGACAGTTACCAAGTGAGAACAAGAAGGACAGTTACCAAGTGACAACAAGAAGGACAGTTACCAAGTGACAATAAGGACAGTTAGCAAGTGACAGCAAGAAGGACAGTTACCAAGTGACAACAAGGACAGTTACCAAGTGACAACTGTAACTTGATACTGGTGCTCCAGGATAAACTCAATCATCAGCTTAAGTTTTCTCTTAGATGTGCTTGTTATTTGGAACTGTTCCAGCCAGAGTACTGCAACTTGTTCTTCAGAGTGACACTTTCTCCACAACTTTTCTGCCAACAACAGTACAACACTTTCTCCACAACTTCTCTGCCAACAAGTTTGACACACTAAAGACTTGAAACCACCTACTAATTTCTATGCTTTATTGATCTATCATTTTCCTCATTTTAATTCCTAACAAAACATTTTAGCTTCAATAATACTGCACAAATCAATTACAGTGGTACCTCGAACAATTATGTAAGTGTATTTTTGTAAGTGCTTTTGTAATTGTATTTTTGGGGTTCTAAAACAGACTAATCTAATTTAAATTATTCCTAATGGGAACAAATTCATTCGGTAATGGCACTTGAACAGCCCTCTGGAACGAATTATGGCAAAAATTCGAAGTACCGCTGTATTCTACTCTCTATATTCATCCAAACCCTACAGAGTTAATGTTCCATTTAGACATCAACACACACATTAGAAACAGTGCTCGTGCATGCACAATCATTACATTTACCTCACCTGAAATGCTCTGCATAACCAGGGGCTTTCAATGTGTACTATTAAATGTTATCCAGTTTTTTTTTAAATTATGTATTATGTGTAAACATATATATTTATTTATCTATAACTACTAATACCTCCAGATGTACCAGTTTCCTCTACCATTTTTATTTTTATTTTGCAATAATTTATCAAAATATATTTTCCCACGATCATCTATCTAGATATATTACCAGGAGAGGGATACCTTACAGGGATCACTGTTCGCTTTTAATCTTTTATTTTCAGAAGCAGTTTCAATGGTGTATAGCCAAACACCAGAACTCTAGTCCGAAGCAGCACCTGCACAATGGAGGACTGGAAACATTCTTGGTACTGGGAAAATATGGTCATAATAGTAACTTGGGAATAAATGCCTCTATAGATTTACCTATTAAACTTTTAGTGATTGTTACTTAATACTGTTCATTGTTGTATACAGGATATTCATTAAAATCAAATAACTTGTTTAGTTATTTTTCAATGACCAACATTAACTCGTAAACGGTCCAAGCAGATCTACGTTCACATGTGTAGTGCTCCAAAAGTAGATCTACGTTTTTTTTTTCATATTTTCAAACATAACAAAAAAAAAAGTAGATCAAAGTTTTTTTTACACATTTTCAAATGTAAAAAAAAAAAAGATCTACTTTTTTTACGTACTTTCAAATGTTGAAAAAACGTATATATATGTTTGGACCGTTTACAGGTTAATAACCTTATAGCCTATTTCATTAATCTTAATCAGAAAGAAGACACTACTGGAATTCAAAATACAGTGGTTCCTTAACACAACTGTAACTCAAACCCCAAAATACAGTGAACCCTTGCCTAACGAATGCATTGCATAACGTTAAATTCGCCTAACAAAGTGTTTGAGCGTAAAAATTTTGCCCCGTCTAACAATAAAAAACTCGCCCAACGTGATTCGTCCGGGACCTGTCCACGCTGCCCCGTGGGTGCCAGTGTTTACAAGCTAGCCAGTGCGGTCGCAGCTACACACACACTCGGTACACTATCCCAGTGTTTTTAGTGCTTGTAACTGCAAAATAAGTCATCATGGACCCCAAGAATGCTTCTAGTGCCAACCCTGTGGTAAAAAGGGTGAGAATTAGTAGGGAATTGAAAAAAGAGCTTAAGGAAATGTGTGCAAAGTGGGTTGAACTGCAAACCTTTATGGATTAAAATCACCCTAACACAGCTATTGCAAGCCGTGCTTGTGACTATTACAATGACAATGCTGTGGCCCATTTTAGGCAAATCTTCAAGGAACCCGAGGTAAAGAGCTCTATGGACAGCTTTGCTGTGTGACAGCGGTCCAGTGACTCTCGGGCATGTCATAGTGGCATTAGAAGAAGAAGGGAAGTAACCTCGGAAAAGGACTTGCTACCTCAAGTCCTCATGGCAGGGGATTCCCCTTCCAAACAATAACAAAATCCACCATCTCCCCTCCTCCCATCCCATCAATCATCACCAGATCTTCAATAAAGGTAAGTGTCATGTATTCTTTATTTAGTATAGTAGTACAGTGGACCCCCAGTTAACGATATTTTTTCACTCCAGAAGTATGTTCAGGTGCCAGTACTGACCGAATATTGTGAAGTAGATTAGTCCATTTCAGACCCCCAAACATACACGTACAAATGCACTTACATAAATACACTTACATAATTGGTCGCGTTCGGAGGTGATCGTTATGCGGGGGTCCACTGTATTTGTGCATGTCTTCTTCTTTTTGGGTGTATAAAAATGTAGATTTCATGTGGTAAATTTTTTTTTCATACTTTGGGGTGTCAGGAACGGATTAATTTGATTTCCATTATTTCTTATGGGGAAAATTAATTCGGCTAGTGATAATTTCGGCTAACTATGAGCTCTCAGGAACGGATTAATATCGTTAGGCGAGGGTCTACTGTACATGGTTTTATTGTACTTTGTTCCAAGACCCCAGAAGTGCTACTTAAAGTGTACCTTGAACTTGCATGTTTATATATGCAGTGGAACCTCAAAAATCGAACGTATCACATATCGAACGTTTCGAAAATAGGGCCATTTTTCGGACAAACTGTGTCCCTATTATCAAACGCGCCCCTATTTTCGGACCGCCGGGTACGGGACCTGTCTGCCGGCCCGCTGATGTTGCGAAAGGTGTTAATATAGGGAGTGGATGAGGTACCTTCTTCAAAGATTAAGGAGATTTGTGCCAAGTGGAATGATGTCCAAATGTTTGTGCAGAAGTACCACCCTGAGCAAGCTGAAACAAGCCATCTTTGCAACAAGTTCAGTGACAGAACCATGTCCCATTTTAGGGAAATGTTAAAGAGGCGCCAGAAACAGAGGACCGTGGACAGTTATTTTGTGAGACAGGGGTCCAGTGACTCAAGCTGGTCCTAGTGTCATTAAAAGACAGAGAAGGGAAGTAACCCCAGAGGGGGCTTGACCTGAAGTCCTCATAGAGGGGGATTCTCCTTCCAAACACTAACCCCAACTCCCTCTCTCCTCCTCCCTATCTTCCAGATGCCATCACCAATCTTCAATAAAGGTAAGTAAAAATGTTACTTTATATGTATTACTATACATAATTAAAAACTATAGTATTTGTTGTATGTAAAACTGTAATTAATCTCTATAAAACGTATTTTTTGTGTGAATATTTTTGGGTTTCTGGAACGGATTAATTGTATTTCCATTATTTCTTATGGGAAATATTGCTTCGAATTTCAGACTTTTCGAATTTAGAACTAGCTCCTGGAACGGATTAAGTTCGATTTTTGAGGTTCCACTGTACCT